CAGAAGTATATATCCACCCTCGCTGCCCTGCCCCAGGCTCTGTGGGTCCTGCTGTTTGGGTTTCTATACCCACTCTTGCTTATGCTGTTACACTAATTGCTGTCTATCAATTATTCATCAATGCAGTAATTGAGCAGGGAGTGGGTAGAAGACCTGGCTGTGCAGTGAGCCCTGGGCTGGCCCACAGAGCTGCTGTGGCTCAGGACAGCAAGTAGTGAAGCTGCTCAGGGGATGCTCCTTGTGAGCACTTTCAAAATGACTCCCATGAAGATTTTCTCAAGCTTTGGTAGTTCTGCTTTGCATTTCTGGCTTGGTTTTCTTCCCCTTAGCCCCATGTATGTTTTAGATACCATTCCCTGTAGCCATGTGCTTGCTTGGTTCTTAGTGGTCACTTGTTAAATCCCAAGGTGCTCATCAATGGTTGGGTGATGTTTCACAGTAAGAAGTTTCTGATCTGATGGATTTGGGCACAATTGTCCCATGCTAAGAACCAAAAACCATACTATTGTCCTTTTGCTTTAGGAAAAAAACTGCTTTGGAAAGGTTGGTGTTTCTGTGGGTGGTGTAGGTGCTGTTTTCCATGCAATTTGTCTGCTGTGAGGAGGGATCTTACCTCCAGCACTGTAGTAACAAAGCTGGCTGCATCTCTCCCAAAATACCCCTGGAGAGGGAGTTGGTCTCATTCCCATGGAGAAACATGCTTTTGGGGACTGGTGAAGCACCTTTGATCTTCACCTGAAGGGCAGCAGGAGCCAGAGAGGTCCCATGGGACACATGGAGGATGCAGCTGCCATGGTGTGGGGACAGCCCATGAGATTGGCTCTTTCAGCACTGTCTCAGGAGGTCCATTCACTCCTCTCAGGGTGTGAGTGCAGTCAGAGCAGCATGGCCTTTGTTCTCCTGCTCACATCATCTGTTACCTGCAGAAATTTCCCTGCTTTTCCCAATCCCTGCTTTTGACTGAAGAGCTGCCTGGGTGCAGGGCACCTCTGTGAGATGTATTTAGCCTCTTCTTCCTCAGTATTACCACCAAAGAAAGAGCAAATCTGAGCATCCCCATCAGCAGCCAGGAAAGTCTGAATTAAATGCCCCTATGTCCAGCTGCTACTTGACCTATGGTAGCTCCATGACTATGAGGAGCAGAGGCTTTGAGACAAGAAGCTGAGAGCCTCAGAATTTCCCTGATCTCCCCAAGCTGGAGATTTAAGGGAATGCCTCATGCCACAGCACTTGTGGCAGCACCAGGGGAAGGGCAGGGCAGGGCAGTCCCCATAGCTGGTGTTTTCCCAGCTGGAAGTTCCAGGTGGGGCCCACCAGAAGGGCCATGTTGGAGAAGTCCAGGCTGTGCTGACAAACCCATGTCTGGTTGTTGAAATTTGCTCTGCTGGAGAGCTAGAACAGTCCTAGGTGTGAGCAGCAACTCAAAAAACCTGCTTGAATTGCAGGCCAAGGAGCAGAGGGTTTGCAGTGCTTCTCCTGTCTTGGTTTCAAGGAGATTTGAGAACAACTTGAAAAACATAACTTTTTGAGACAGTGAGTGATCCTTGAAGGCAAAGAGCCCAGAAGGAGGTTATAGGTGCAGGGTTTGAGGATGTTGGGGCAGGCAGGGCAGTGTTGGTGTTTTTTGGGGTGTGTTGAGCTTGTTCAATAGAGAGATCAGTATTAGGGACACCATTGCTGTTGCTCTGATCTCAGACCTATCATCCTCCTTCCCTAGAATTACCCCAGATAGCCATCCTGGGGCTTGGAGATAGCTCTTTCTTCTGCTTTCTCTTCCCCTTCTTGGGACAAGCTGCCTTGGTCACTTAGAAACTGAAACAGTGAAGTGTGAGGTTCTCCATGGAGGATGTAGTAAAGTCCTTTGGCACCTTGACCTGCCCAGCTCAGGACAGGGAAACCCAGATGCTGGGAATGGGAAGAGCAGCATGTTGAGTGCAGGGATGCTGAGGAGGGGAAGAGGCAGGTGCTGAGAAGAGGGAAACCTGCATATTGAGGACAGGGACACCCAGATGTTGATGGCAGAGACACCCAGATGTTCAGAGCAGTGAGACCAAGACACTGAGAATGGAGAAATCCAGATGTTGACTGCTGGCTGCTGAGCTACTGCTGCTGCAGTGAGAACGTGGGATGTTTTGGATGAGTCTGTGAGGTGGAAGGACAGCACCTACCTGCTCAGACAGCATCCACACTGCATCCAACTGCTGCCTCCTTCAGCAGCCCCTTGGCCATGATGATGGTGAGAAGGTGTCAGTGCCCTTTAGGTACTGGAAAAGCTGCTCAAAGGCTCCAGGGAGACCTTAGAGACCCTAAAGGGGCTCTAAGAGAGCTGTAGAGGGACTTTGGACAAGGGCCTGGAGGGACAGGACACAGGGAATGGCTTCCCACTGCCAGAGGGCAGGGCTAGGTGGGATATTGGGAAGGAATTCTTCCCTGTGAGGTGCTGAGGCATTGGCACAGGTGCCCAGAGAGTCTGTGGTTGCTCCATCCCTGGAAGTGTCCCAGGCCAGGTTGGATGGGGCTTGGAGCAACCTGGGCTAGTGGAAGGTGTCCTTGCTCATGGCAGGGGGTGGGACTGGATGAGCTTTAAGATCCTTCCAACCCAGACCAGTGTGTGACTATGAAAGGTGGTCACAGCCCTGTCCTGGATGTCCTAAATCAGCTCTGGGCAGCAAGGTGACCCTTGGCTTTGTGCTGATGAAGCCCATGGTGCCTCCAGCCAGGACCAGGCTTGTTGGCTGTCCACAATGGCATTACTGCTGCTTCCTTCCCTGTCTCACCACCACCAGCTGATGTTGAGCAGAGCTCATGGCCCTCACTGCACAGACAGGATTTCACAGCCCTGGTGATGCTCTCAGCCTGTGATGGAACCACCAGTCAGTGGTGAGGCTCCTGCTCATCCCCTCCATGCCAGAGAAGAGCAGCAGAGTCTCTGATTGAATTAGCACAGGGATTTAATTCAATCCCCAAATGGCTCTCATTTTAAAGGAGTCTGTTCATTTCCTTCTAGGCCCTTATCTGATGTGGGCAACCAGCAATATGAGGCAGAAGGACTGGTCAGATAGGCAGCTGTTGGGGGCAGGGAGGGCTTTGTGGGGAGAGACTTGAGGGCCGTGTGGGTTTTATACGCTAATTATTCCTTGAAATAATGATGACAGTGATTGCAAGACAAATAAACAGCAGCATTAAAGCACACACTGATGCAAACATCATCCTTGCACAGCAAGGCTGGAAACATTCCAGATTCCCTTTTGACAAGGTGATTTTATTTTGTGATTCCCTTTTTACAAGGAATTACTGTGTGGTGAGTGAAACAGCCCCAAGGATGGGAACATCCACCTTGTGCATCCCATCAAATCCAGCTGTTTCAGGGATGGGGCAGATGTTGCAGGTGGGGCTAAGGACATGATGGGCTCTGAAGTTTAGTTTTCAGACTCACTGGGGGAGTCCAAGTGATACTGAATGGGATAGAGCAGTTGCTCTCCATGCTGCAGGTGTAACTGGGACCCTTTAGGTGTGATAACAAAGGACAAGGCACAGTGGAACAGGTGTGAGTTCCTCTGTGAGCTGCTGTGGCACTGACCTTGAGCATCTTTTTGGACACCCAGACAGTTTTGACCCTTTGAGCTCTTTGACCATGAGCTCAGAGGGGTTCCTGCAGGTGCTGCCAGGTGCTGTGTGGTCTCTGCACTGTTCCCTCTGTGCAGAGTGACACACACCTCTGGGCTGTTTCCTTGGTGTAACTGTAGCTTTTGCAGCCCAACATCTGCACACAGCTGCCTGGGAGATCCAAAGGTGGGTCATCATCCCCAGGCCAGGGGGTGTTTAGCAGCAGGCTGGCTGGCCCAGGGGATGGCTTGCAGGGGCTGCTGTCATGAGCTGGGACCCCCACAGGAATACAACCTCTGTCCACTCCATGGGTGCCTCTTCCCAATGGGATGTGAGGCTGGATGGGTTGATTCCCAGGGCTGCTGCTCTGTTTGAAGCTGAAGTCAACCTAATTTATACAGAGCTTTGTTAACTCCAGCATTCTGGTTGCCATTGGGCTTGTGAAAATGTTTGGATCTCAGCTAGGGATACAGTGACTTCTTTTCTGGGTGACTTGTACCTTGGGGTGGTCCTGTGGAATAGCCTCTGCCCCAGCCCTGCAGGATCTGTGTAGGTGGGAATTACTTACCAGAGGGAGGATTTTTCTCTCCTTTGGCCTTTGTCCCCTGCTGAGTTGGTTTTGCCCCTCTGGCTTAGACAGAATAACCACACAGAACTCATCCCAGGCTCCTGCTGCTCACAAAACAAACCTTGGAAGTTTTTTCCCTTAGGCTACTTCTGGCTTTTCCCTTTGCAAGGGCACAGCTTGCTCAGGCCCTTCCCAGCTGGAAAAACCACGCTGAAGGTTTTGAAGCCAGCAGGAGCTGCCATGGGGTGCCCCAGAGCCATGGGCTGAGCCAGGCTGAGCTTGGGCAATCCAGATGGGCAGAGTCTGGTGCTTCCCTTTGGCATTTAGTAAGGTGGTGCAGGAGGGGCTGGAGCTGCCAGATGAGAGCTGCTGGATTTCTCTGCTGCACTTGGGGAAGATCCCTGCAGGGCTGAGCCCCACCAGCAGCTCCCGGGGGACATGGTGAGGATGATGTTACTGGCTCTGCCTCTGCAGCTGAAGCTGAGCCTGGCTGGTGCCTCCACCATCAGAACCCCAGGGTTCCTCCAAACCCCTCAGCGCTGCTGGGTGCTGGAGCAAGGAGCTGAGTGGCCCCATCCCACTCCTTCCAGGTGGGGGAACCCAGTGCTCCAGTGATCAGGAGCAGAACTGGGTGCTGAGGGAATGGTGGGTGACTTGCCATCACCTAGGAACATGGGAAAGATCCCACTGGATCATGTTTGGATTGTACAAAGTGGTGCCAGCCTTGTAGTTGGGGTGTTAGGTGTGGAAAGGCTCCCCAGGAAGGTGGCCAGAAAGATGTGGGGTGCTTCTGCCTTCATCCTTTCCTATCTTCTCTCGTGGGCAGATGCTGGAGACAGACGCTGAGAAACCAGGCCAGATGCACTCGGAGGACGGGAAGGCAACAGCGGGTGATGCTCCTCCAGCTGCTGAGGCACCAGCCCCAGCCAAGGCCTGGGATGCTCTGGGAGCCACCCAAGGTCCTCTCCTGGAGGAAAAGCAGCCAGTGGCCACCACAAAGGGAGAGGAGCAGCCCAGCTCTCTGTCAACCTTCGTCATCCCCGAGCTGCGGCTCGACAGCACCTTCAGCCAGAGCGCGGCAGGTGGGGCAGGCAGCACCACGGATGGAGAGGACGAGGATGAAGAGGAAGATGAGGATGAGGAGGATGAGGACAGTGATGAGCAGTACTTGGAGAGGAATGAGATGAAGCGCAGCAGCATGATCGAGACCTCTGGCTGTCAGCCCGTGTACACGCTGAGCGTGCAGAGCTCCCTGCGGCGCCGCACGCACAGCGAGGGCAGCCTGCTGCAGGAGGCCAAGAGCCACTGCTTCACCTCTGACACCACCCTCAACTGCTTGGACAACCACGACACCACGGGCCACTGGGCCCTGCCTTCCCCCAGGACCCTCAAGAAAGAGCTTATCAAAAATGGAGGCTCCATCCATCAGCTCACGCTGCTGTTCTCGGGCCACAGGAAGGTATGGGAGCTGGTGGCTCTGGCTTGGATGTGGTGGTGGTGGAGCTCCTGGGGTGGAGGTGTCCTGGCATGTGGTCCCTATCTCCATGCCCATGGCAAAAGCTAGTGTCTGAGGGGTCATAAATATCCTTGCCACTGGAGCTAGTGTCTGAGTGGCCAGGAAGGTCCCTGCCCCTGGAGCTAGTGGAGAGGCCAGAAAGGACCCTGCCACTGGGGATAGTGGAGGGGCCAGGAAGGTCACTGCCACTGGCAGGCAGCTCTGGGAGATGCTTAGCACCCAGGGCATGTCACCCAGAGCCAGCATGGGGTGTGGGTGGGTGTCTCTCACCAATGCTTCCAGATCCTGCAGGGTCCCAAATCCTGGGGAGGTAATGTCTGCTGAGACTTGTGGAGGCAGAGGTGCACCTGGGTGTCTGCACTGGGTGGGGACAGGCAAAAGGCTTCAGAGAGCCTGTGGTGGCAGGCCCCAGTGTGTGTGGGATGCAGGAGCAGTGTGGCTCTCTGCCCACACCAGCCTCTTGCCAGGCTTTGACCATTGTGGAGGACCCATCTCAGGGAGAATAGTTGTGGTCAGCAGTGATGTCTGGCCCTGCCATGCAGGAGGGGCAGTGGAGGCTATGCCTCAGGAGCTCTGTTTAGGGGTGGCCTGTGCAAGCCTGGTGGTCTGGGATGCTCCCCATGCCCCCCAGAGCAGAGCTTGCCTTGGCTGTACTGTTGCAGGAACAATGTGCCATTCACAGATCATCCATGGGAAGTGCTCCTGGTCCCATTCTCCCCAGGTGACACCTGCTGGGTGCTGGGAGTGGCCTCCTGCCTTCCTGTGGCACCAGCCCTGCCCCCTGCCCTGCCCCACCGAGCCCACACCAGCTCCATCCCTGCCACGGCTGTGGGTGCTGCTCAGGGCTCTAGTGCTTGGCACAGGACTGTGGTGCATTGCTCAGGGTCATGCTGCCCAGCTCAGGACCTCGTTGCATGGCTCAGGACCATGTCACACCACATGGGACCATCTTGCAGAGCACAGGGTCACATTCTTCTGCACTCTGGCTCCTTGGCAGGAGAAGCTGCTACAGAGCCCTGGAGTTAAACCCGTGATGAGGTTAAACCCATGATGAGGTTGAACCCATGATGAGGTTAAACCCATGATGGGGTTAACCCTCTTCCTCCCAGGCTCATGCTGCTTGAAAAGCCATCTCTGATGCTGTTTCCTGGAGCACCTTTTGGGCTCAGAGTCCCTGGCCAGCTGGTGAGAGCCCTTCCCAGGCTGACAGACCCCTCAGATGGGGTTGCTGCACCTAAAGGTAGCCCAAACTCTCCTGGAGGCTGTTGCCAACAGCTATGGGCTGGGGTTGTCCCTTTGTGCCAGGGAGGCCTGTGCTGCCTGTCACAGATGCAGGGGAGGTGGTGGCAGTGTCCCATTAGTGCTGGCTGTGCCGAGTCCCCTGGAAGGAGGTTTCACAGTGCCGCTGTGTGTGCAGCCTGGAGCCTGCAGCTCTGCAGCTGCTCCAGCCCTGGCCCAGGCTGGGTGGGCTGTGTGCCACTGCCAGGGCACCCTGGGAATGTGCCCTGCTCCTGCACTGGGAGCCCCCAGCTGTGCTTCCTGGGCTGATCCAGGTGGGTAAGCAGAGCTCCTCCAGACTGAACTGCTCTGGTGCAGATGAGACTGGGATTTTTGGTGCTGGGACTGGGCAGTCCATGCCAGGGATGAGGGCAGTGTGGTGACTGCACTTTCTGCAGCTCCAGTTTCCAGTCTTGCAGCAGGTCTGTCTGGAACCTTAACCCTTGCCCATGTGCCCTCCTGGGGCACCCTGTCTGCTTTCTTTGCCTGCTTCCACTGCCCTGCTCCCACTGCTCTGCTCCCTCTGTCTGCTCCCATCACCCTGCTCCCACTGTCTTCTCCCACTGCCTGCTGCCACTGCCTGCTGCCACTGCCTGCTCCCATTTCCCTGCTCCCTCTGCCTTGCTCCCATTATCCTGATCCCATCACCCCTGCTCCCACTGCCCTGCTCTTACTCCCTGCTCCCACTATGTGCTCCCACTACCCTGCTCCTATCACCCTGCTCCCATTGTCCTGCTCCCTTTGCCCTGCTCCCACTTCCCTGCCTCTCCAGCTGCCTGCAGAGGATCCACAGTAGTCAGGGAAGCCAGACAGTGCTGGACAACCTCGTGCATGGGGTTTTGGGCTACTGCCACCCCCTGCCTACACTTTGGAGGGACTTTTATTGAGCTGTGCCTTTTGAACAGTTCAATGACACCTTGAAGGTTTTTGGAACAGAACACTGATGTACCAATTCCTCTAGGGATCCCCCACCAAGCTGCCGAGCACCTTGGTGGCAGGGCCACCACATCCAGCAAGGTGCTTCGTTGTTTCCCCCTCTGGGAGGGTGTCAGAGGGGCTCATTTCATAGCCCCGTTTAACACCATCATGCCCAGAGTTCTCCCCACTCCCTCCTCCCCGCGCTGCGCTGGGAGGTGGTTGTTCCAAGCCGCATTGTGGCCGGGAGCGCTGGGACAAGTCGGGCGAGCTGTGCCGCTGCCTTTTGTCCCCGAGCCCCGCGGACAATGGCAGGAAGCGGCTCCCGCCGCGGGGGGGTTTTTT